GGATTATGTTGAAGTGATGGAGGGGGAGTCCTTCGAAGCATCCAGAGACCCATCCCATAGAGATGGAGAGGTTACTGTACACTGGAGTGGAACTGCTAGGGTGAGGGAATTCAATGGGCCCAGGAGGTTTATGGTGAGTCCAAAGCCCCAGACTCCTGGTAGGACATCAAGTGGCTAGGTGAGATCCAACAAATGAGGAGCAGAGTACAGTCTGGATGGAATCTCTGAACCCGAGTGTGATCCAGACTGGAACAAAAGAGCGAAGCTTGATCTGGACTGGAAAACATGAGAAGAGCTGGATACAGACTGGAGCACGGGAGCGGAGCTGGACCCAACAGAATTGGAGAAATGGAGCTGGATCCTGATTGAACAACAGGAAAGGAGCTGGATCTGGCCTTGAGCACAGAAGCAGATTGGAGCACCATGGTGATGCTAGATCCTGACTGGAGCACAAAAGTGTAACTAAGTGACATTTTCAGCAGCGAAGGAGCTGGATCAATCCACTCGAACTGCAGTGGAGCTAGAGCCAAATAGCTCTGTGTGGGAACAACCATCAGCTTCAGGGAAGCACTAGCAAATCCACTGTTCCGGGCACTGCACCACAGTGCCGCTTTGGCAAGATTCAGGCTGGGCTGCACGACTGTGTTTTGCACCAGGGGTTGGTGGAGACTGGCATCACCCACTTTGTATGAGTAAATATACACAAAGTACAGGATCAGGTGGAATGAACAGAGACGCTAACAGGTGGAGGCAATGACAAATGAGGATCAGGGAACACGGTCCTGACTAATATCTTAATTTGTTTTCTAAACACAGCAGACAGTTACTAATGGAATCGTAAGTTATTCAATCTTTAGCACTGCGAGAGAAATGCGCCTAGCAGGTTGTAAAATACAAGCTTCCAAACGCATCGAGGGAGCCAGAGGTAAAGATCCTTTTTACTGTTGTATTCCCAATGTGTTATTCCTAACGTTCTGAAAACGTTTCTGCTTTGTTCAATCGCAGATTGTCTTGTTGTTGACTGCAACTTACCTGCTGGTGAAGAAATGAACAACTTCAGTGCTAATGGATCTGACATTTGTCCGAGTTTCAGCACGCAACTAAATGATGGCTTTCAAATGTTTTCCATTGTCAGTATGATCGTCCTTCTGTTTGGATTTCCAACAAACTCCTACGTGATTTGGCTCATAGCAAATGGAGCAGGGAATGGACTTGCAGCAGAGTGTTTCACGCTGAGTGCCGCGGTCTGTGAGATTTTATTATGTATGGAATCTGCATTTTCCTTACTAAGATACAAGTATGACATTCTCTGGGAGCTTGTGTACTTTTTGGATGGTTTCACCATCACCGGTCGTCCTCTGTTTCAGACTGTAATCTGTGTGGAGCGTTACCTGGCCGTGGTTCATCCGGTCACCTTCCTCAAGTACAAATCTCCCCGACATCGAATCATTTGTTCTGTGCTTGTATGGATTGCAGCATTTCTCTTGTGTGGAGTTATTTTTTCAATGTTGATATGCCTTCCTACGTTATACTTGGCTTTTTTCTTTGTACAATTCATACTGTTCCTCTCATTCCAATCGTTTTGTCTTGTGGCCATCCTGAGAGCTCTGAAACAACCCAGACCTGGAGATAGGAAAAGAGAGGAGGATAACCGCGTGAAGAGAAAGGCGTTTTTTCTCATTTTAATAACAAACATAACCATGACAATATTTTATACGCCTTACATGATACTCATGATCCCAGAGTGGATTTCTGATAATCCGTATGATGCCTTCTCCTCTGTTGGTTACGCTTGTTTCACGTTGTTTAGTTTAGTGCAGCCATTCTCTTTCTTCCACCGGGTTGGGAAACTACCGCTCATTAAATGTCAGTAAATCTTTTTTTAGCATGATTTTTTAGGTATATTCTTAAATCAGTGTGTGTGGGGGGTTTGTATGCAAAAGTAATGCATCAATATGTAAAGCTCACTGTACAAAATAATCAAACTCTGTGCTATGACTTTATTTCCCACTCGTAAGAGAAATAAACCCACTGCCCTAAAAAAACATTCATTCATTCATTTTCCATTCCAAGAGCACATTGGGGGAGAGGCGGGGTTACACCCTGGAAAGGTTACCAGTCCATCGCAGCGGGATTAAAATGATAAAAATAAATTGACAAGTTGTTTTTATTTTTATTTCTACTGATTATAAAGTTAAAATAAAGCCATTATTCTCTCTCATTTTCTTTTTTCTCTTTCTACTGTTTTCCGCTCTCTATATCACTCTCTCATTCCCTCTATTTACCTCTTACACTTCTCTTTATTCCCTCTTTTCTTTTTCTTTGCTTTCTATTTTTCTCTTTCTCTCCCTCTCTTTTTCTTTCACTCTCTCTTCCACATTCTTCTGTATTTATATCTTTTGTGCTCTCATTTGCTCTCTTTTCAATCTATCCGTCTTTCTTCTATTTCCCTCTCATTTTCGTTCTTTCTTTTTTCTCTCCTCTCTTTTACTTCCAGCTTGCTCTCATTCTCTTAATGCTATCCCTTTTCTTTCATGCTCTCCTTTTTTCCTCACTATCTCTTTTCCTTCTCTCTCCCTCTTGCTCTTTCTGTCTCTATCTTTTCTTTCTCTCTCTATCTCTGGAAATACTGTGATAATCCCTTCTCTTGAGTACTTTAAGGGGGGATTCTTTTCACTCTTACTTTGAGTCGTGTTTAGAACAGATTCTTTTACTCAACTTTCTTTACTTTTTTTGTCAAGTAATGGTACTTTTACTTGAGTTTGATGTTTCAGTACTCTTTACACTACCATAATAATTTGGTGGCTGTAACAAAACTTTCTGCTTTGTATTATCGGATGTGTTGCCATTCAAGTCAATGGAACTTTATCGAAGTGTGGTTTTCAATGTCAATCACTAGCATGAGGAATTTGCGTAATGTCATCAACTTTGTTTGCTGATGTTGTTATAGCATCACTTTCTATTTTCTCTGAGAATCAGGTGCAAGGGCAGTAAAAGCATGTGGTTTTCAGCGAGTAGGATCGTGTCATTGTGCTTTTTTGTCACTCTTCTGATTGCAATATTCGAGATGACAGAAACCGATTCTAAAACGTACAGAATCAATGCACAAATATAATAATATTATCAACTGAAGTTCATTTGAACTTATTCCATGTAGTAAACTACCACCTGCATTCTTCTTGGAAAGCAGACTAAGGTAATTATTGTATTATTATGTTGGCTTGCTTGCAAAGCCAACATATTGTTATTGCACTTAAACTTATTATTATTCCGCTTCTTCTTCTTCTCATTTCTTCTGACAAAAATTCTTAACACTACTCCTCCTAGCCCGTTCGAGCTACAGCCACGAAACTTTCCAGGTCGTCCAAACTGTTCCCACTCGAGTTGCTATATCTCTTTGGACCAATTGGACCAGCGGTTTCTGTAAAAATCGCGAATTTTGGCCCAAAAATCGCCCAAGTCATTCCCTATGGGGGCCCTAGAGTGGTGATGTCATCGCCCACTCTAACTTTGAGCAAGCTCAGTCTTGTTGATACTTGCACTGTTTTCTCAACTAAAAATTAACCTTTACACACACATTTTATACCTAAATGGTAAAGATTTTTGTCCTCTTTCAGTTGGTGCTGTTTTCATTTTTAAAAAACACACAGTTTTTACTCCAGGTGGCCTGAACCACAAGGAGTGCACATAATTGCTCCATTCACCTCCATTCAAAAATTCTGCCAGAGGATGTTTAAAATCTCAATCGCAGGCTATTTATAACTCGCCATAAATCATTCAAACTTTATCACAGCTTCACAAAATTTACACCATTCTCTTCCTTAAAATCTTGTGATTCTAACAGTAAAGGAAATATTTTAATGTGTCTTGTCCTTCTTTCGTAATCCTTATTTGTTTGGAGGTATGGATTTCTCAGAAATGAGCAGTTGCACAGAATCAAATGAAGGCTATTTCTAGCTCGCCATAATTTTTTTATTTCTAATCACACCTCATTTCGATGTGTCTTACGGTTCTTCTATAATCTTTATTTGTTTGAGGCATGGTAATTGGATTCTCTCCAGCAGATTTTCCATCGTTTGAAAATCTGGCAGTTGAAACTCCAGCAGGTGCAGTTGATTACTAATAAGTAGGTCAAAGGTGTCTCATAGACTTTCAATGGCCCATTGAAATGAATATATATTTAAAGACCATCCTAACAACAATCTTTGCCAAAACATCCAAACAAATCCAAGGATAGTATAGTGGTAGCGCTGCCGTCCTTCACATGGGAGACTGGGGTTTGAATCTTGGTTGGGACACACAACAACACGAATGCTATGGCAAGCATTTTGGTTTCGTTTAAAAATGGTCATACATATATGTATAGTGGTAATATATGTATAGTATGGTGTGATATACTATATGTAGGATATAGTATAGTGGTAAAGCTGCCGTCCTTCAGATGGGAGACTGGGGTTCGAATCCTGGTTGGGACATACAACAACATGAATGCTATGGCAAGCATTTTGGTTTCGTTTAAAAATGGTCATACATATATGTATAGTGGTAATATATGTATAGTATGGTTGGATTATACTATACGTAGGATAGTACAGTTGTAATGCTGCTGTCCTTCACATGGGAGACCGAGGTTCGAATCCTACGACATGACAACACAAATGCTACGGCAAGGGGGAGCCAGAACGGTGGGTCGGCAGGGGGCAGGGTGCAGGGGCCAGGCCGCTGACCTATATGAATATAATTATTAAAATAATTCTTAAAATAATTAAATAAAAATTAAAATAATTATTAAGCAACAATAAAATGCTTGCCACAGCATTTGTGTTATCGTATGTCCCAACCAGGATTCGAACCCCGGTCTCCCATGTGAAGGACGACAGCAAAACAACTGCACTATATCCTACATTTAGAATCCCACAAAACTATACATATATTACCACTATATGTATGACCATTTTAAGCAACAATAAAATGCTTACCATAGCATTCATGTTGTCATATGCCCCATCCAGGATTCGAACCCCGGTCTCCCATGTGAAAGACGGCAGCAATACCACTATACCATATCCTACATATAGTATATCCCACCATACTATACATATATTACCACTACACATATGTATGACCATTTTTAAACGACACCAAAAGGCTTACCATAGCATTCATGTTGTCGTACGCCCCATTTAGGATTCGAACCCCGGTCTCCCATGTGAAGGCATCACTATACTATATCCTACATATAGTATATCCCACCATACTATACATATATTACCACTATACATATATGTATGACCATTTTTAAACGACACCAAAATGCTTGCCATAGCATTTGTGTTGTTGTATGTCCCAACCAGGATTCGAACCCCAGTCTCCCATATGAAGGACGGCAGCTTCACCACTATACTACATCCTACATATAGTATATCCCACCATACTATACATATATTACCACTATACGTATATGTATGACCATTTTAAGCAACAATAAAATGTTTTCCATAGCATTAGTGTTGTCATATGCCCCAACAAAGATTTGAACCCCGGTCTCCCTTGTGAAGGACGGCAGCATTACCACTACACTATATCCTACATATAGTGTATCCCACCATACTATACATATATTACCACTGGTATTTGGGTCAAAATTGATTATTATGTTGGCTTGCTTGCAAAGCCAACATATTGTTATTGCACTTAAACTTATTATGTTGGCTTGCTTCCAAGTAGGTCAAAGGTGTCTCATAGACTTTCAATCGCCCATTGAAATGAATGGAGCATGAATCCCATAGATCCTATTGTGAAAGAGCTTCTGTAATTGATTGACACTGGAAAGTCATACTAGTATTAAGGATGCAAATCACTTATCCAGCCAATCATTGCTTGTGATTTAACATAAAATAATTAAGCCACACCCACTTTTTGACATAACTTTCGATGTCAAATATCTTCTAAACGGAACACAGTAGAGACATGGGGGTTGCTTTATATTATTCTAAATGGAAAGTAGATTACAACATGATGTCACTGACTCCTCCATAGCAACCAAATTGTTTACCATAGCAACTAAATTGCCATGTCTCTTTCTTAGCTTAGGGAAATGCTAGAGACTTGGGGGTTGGTAAGCTTTACCCATAGTGACAGGAGTCACTGACCCCTCCATAGCAACCAGACAGGTTACCATAGTAACCAATTTTGCATGTACCTATCTCAGCTTATGAGAATCATAGAGACATGGGGGTTGGATTATGTTATTGTTGCGGAATTGACAACATTCTAAAAAATGGCTATTAACGGCACCAACGCAAGCCAACATCGAAGTTTGCGTGCAAACTTTAAAATCTAGTTATAAATAATATGCCAATTTTAACTAACAAGAGTATTACATTTACTCTGTCCATTAACAAAAAGTTCTGGTACACTATGAATCTTTCACTAATAGAAGAGATGAACATCTCGAGTGAATTCTTCCCTTCTGAAAACACCACTGTGATGGGAATTGGTTCGTCCTCGCACTGGGTAAATATTACCCTCATTCCGTTCAGTATTCCAATAAATGTCTATGTGATTTGGCTGATAGCAACAGGAACAGGAAATGGACTTGCATCCAAGTCTGCGAGATAATTATATGTTTAAAATACATCTTTTCACTTCTCCAGTCTGAAAATCTCTGCTATCGACGACTATGTTCTGGTTTTGTTTGGGTGTGGGAATTCTTTTAGTAACTTGCATCTTTGCTTCAGGTTCATTATCCCTCACAACATTGTACTTTGCTTTATTCTTTATATTGTTCCTTCTCTTATTCTCTGTCCAGTTGTATTGTTTGGTGGCCGTTCTCAGAGCTCTGAAACAGGCATGTCCTGGAGAGTAAAAGAGAGAAAGTGAAGGGGAAAACCAGCATTTCATCTCATTCTCATTAGTAATGTGTCCATGGCTGTTCTTTTAATCATTCCACGGGGGTTTTCAGGATATGGTGATGCATAGTTGCTTATGTTTCCTGTATCTTTGGTGCAACCCGTTGCATTCTTATACAGAGTTGGGAAACTACCTTTTCTGAAATGTATAGAAATCTCTTCTTATCATATATCTTTGATTCTCTTCATTTTAAAGGGAGGATTCAGAGTTTTGAAAATTGAATGATCTTTAAATTTCTCTTTATTATTCGACTGATGTGAAATGTTGTCTAATGTTTTGATTTGATAGATACAGTTCCGTTTCAAAGATGGAGGGATCTCTTGGATGGATGTCTTACTGGACATTTTTGTGGCATTATTTGTAACTGCTCTGCTTAGGTTGAACATCAGTGGCGCCACCTTGTGCCCACCAGTGTTTTGTCTTTATTTTTATTTTTTTAATCCATGATGCAAGTGAAGCTTATTTAAACTACATAAAGTGTGATTCCTAAAATTGAATTATTTGTTCATTCAAATGCTCATGTTTATCATGATGTTTGTAAATTTCAGCAGCATGTGTAAAAATATTTTTGTCATAAAGGATGAATTTTTATAATCAAATCATAAAATTTTATCCTCACATGAGAGGATTGGAGAAATATGCAAATGAACAAGTGTCTCTTGCGATGCACCCATGTTGTTTTCTGAGGATTTGATTTGTTGATTTGTTTTTTTTTTTTTTTTATTTAAGGATGTGCAGTGATTATTCTGAATTAAGAGTCTGATTCTAAAAGAAATGTATTTAAAACATCACATTTATAATTGAAAAGAATACATATTTTGTCTAATTGACGTGGTAAACCACCAAAGAGAATTGATTAGTACTTCCATAGATTGTCTCAAGAAGATTTGCATAAATCCAGTGCATGTAAAATACTGTTGCACATCACAAAAACTCAGATGCCAGACGCTCCAGATGTTGAATACATGTTGTTTTTGTAATAACTTTTAAAAGTCAGATGAAAACCCTCAAACTGCATGACTCAGGTAACTTTTCATTCTCTTTTCTGTGGAACTAAGTGTTTGTGTTTCATTTTGTAGTAGTTATATCTATTTATGTGTCTATCTCCTGAGCTTAATGTCAGAACTGGAACTCAGAGTATGTTTTATTTATAAACAAAAGTGCATTGATGGTTTGATTTATTGATTTCCAAACTGCAGAATGAAGGCGTGTTTAGAATGTGTTCTGTAATTCGTCTTTTCTCCATAAAAATGACAATATTTTAGGCTCTTTTAGAACGTCTCTATCATGCGGATTTCAAATGCAAATGTATATGTCTTAAAGGTTTGCCAAACGTCACCTTTTATAGGCTCTTAAATTTATACTTGAACAGTGTTCAGACTCTGTTGTACAGCTTTTATGTAAAGTGGCATCTTTAATAAACATTAGTAGTCGGTTAAAAAAGTAAGGAGATTTGGCCTCAGGCTAAACTGTTTCAATGCAATTTACAACTTGATTCAAGCTCAGCTCAACAATTTATAATTTGTATTAGAACAATTAATAAACTACATTTTATGCATTATAACTTTTTACCTTCGAAAGCAAATAATCATTTACACTATGTTTATTTACATTATATATATGTACATTATGTATATTATCATCAAAATCCAGAATGAAAAGAAAGTCCACGCAAACAAGACGTTTAAGCAGAGCTGTAATCAGAGCTGAACCCGGCTTACTCAGAAACCTGAATGCAACCCAAGATTTGTTTAAATATTTAAAATAACGAATTTTTACAGCTTTATTAGCCATTACTATATATTTTAGTTAAAGGTATTGAGGACTAAAAAAAGCAACCGAGCACTTGGAACTTAAATGAAATAGTCATCTAGCCTCTAATAGCCTCCATATAACAAATGTGCTGTAAATAATTGGAAATAATGGAGGCGGTAATCCGTGATGCGGCCTAATTTATACTCCTGCCCCTGACTATGTATGGAACCTCTGTGTGTAGCCTACATCAAACCCCTCCCTGATTAGATTTCTGCTCTTTAAGGAGATGCTACCAAACCGACCAAATCAGGCTCTTGCATATGGGGACTGTGTCTTCACTGTTGCTACAGCACAGCCCTAGCTTAGGTAGGGCCTCTCCTGGAGTGCATGGTGTACCTCACACAGCTGTTTTTCATGACTTTCATGAAATTCTACACACACGAGTGTATTATATATAAAACATAGCAACAGACTACATAAACTTCTGGCCAATTGCACCACCTCAGAATCAGTTTTTGTGTTTTATGGGCAAATCTAAGAGCATCTCATGACTTCTCACCGCACTCTGAGTGCAGGCCAGTGGAAATGAAAGGCTGAACCAAAGACGATTTGTTGGGTCCCAACAAGCCTAGTTGGATTCAAGCAAAGATCTTCAGCTGAGCACCTTTAGCAGACGATGTTGATTTCATTTGCTTTTATTTTGTTCATTTGAAAATGTTTCAGGTAAAAACCAAGCCTCTTTTAAGTGTAAACTGTGCAAAGATTGTTAATGACCACCTACAATGTATGTAAAACATTTAAAGTGACACTCATTTTTTGACAGCTTACAGTGAAAATATGAACCTCTCCAGTGAGATCCTCTCCACCATCTCTGGAAACTCTTCCAGCTCCGATATGGACTCAGGATTCAGGAAGTTGTTTATGTACTCGTTGGTATGTACAGCGAGCGTTTTGTTGGGTTTCCCTACGAACTTCTACGTGATTTGGCTCATCGTGAGAGGAACAGGAAACGGACTCGCTGCAGAGTTTTTCAGCCTCAATCTCTCCGTCAGTGAGATCATCTACAGCCTGAACTCTTTCTTTGAACTCATCAGCAGCACGTATTTAGATCTTTCGAACGCAGTGCACTTTTTTCAAGGAATCGCCACCACCGGTCGACCTCTGTTCCAGTGCTTGATGTGCGTCGAGTTTTACCTGGCGGTGGTTCACCCTGTGATGTTTCTCAAGTTCAAACCACTCAGATATCACATCATCTGCTCTGTTGTCGTCTGGGTGGCGAGTTTGTCTTGCTACGGTCTAGCTACTACTTTCTCTACTTACCACGTTATGTTCATTTCTCTGACGTTCGTGTTGACTCAGCTCATCGTCTACCTCTCTGTTCAGTTGTTTTGTCTTGTGGCCATTC